TGCAGACTTTTCATCTTTTTCTGCTTCTCTTCACCTGCATCTATAAGAAATGACTTAGCTAAGCTGGAGCATTAACATTCTTAGAAGAAACAAATCAACCCATGACCGGGTGCCAAAGTCGTCTCTGTCCTGGGCCTGAAACATGTCTTTTTCTCCTGGCATCTCTGGGCTCTTTAGAAGCCAGAATTCTGTTTTCAGGGAGCTAAAAAATGTTTCATCAATGGTTTCCTCCATGATAGGTGGAATATTGGGCTATCTTCTTAGATCATCTTATAACACACAGCGGGCACCTCTATGAGGTCACCGTTAAGAGGATCAGATATAGAACTCAGGCAATATATACGATTTTTATTGTCTAGTTCAAAAAAAAATAATTAAAAGAAACAAACAAACAAACAAAACAGAACATTGCTGACCAACCAAAGCAAAACATAATAATAATTTTCAAAGCATAATTTTCCTTCATGAATATTTTAATAAATTATGTCATATTTAAATGATTTTTTTAAAAAACCTCAGGCAAGAAGAAACATGAAACCTGTCATTCTATTTGAGAAGCTGATTTGGGGATTGCAAGTTTGTTATCAAAGGTGCAAATGGGATCCAACTGCTTCAACTCTGGCTCCCCTTGTGAGATAGATGTAGCATTAACCAGAACAGTCAGTGAGAATGCTGCTGAAAATTACAACAGGAAAATTCCTGCTAGGATACAGACATGGAAAGAACACTAGATTAGGAGCCTCTCATTAGCCATAAGACCTGAACGTGCTACCACAACTCGAAGTTTCCCTAACTTTATAATGTGGGACATGAGATGAAAGATCTCTAAGGGCGCTTCAATCTCCAAAATTCTCTTATTTTTGTGAATTCCCGGTATAAAATTGTAGTCATCTCAGGGGCTCCTGGAAGCATATGTACAGACAGCTTGTTCTAGGGTTTGGACAAAGCTCTCAGACACACTGGGTGAGAATCCTAGTCCCACCATGTACCATCTATGGAACTTGGGGGGAAATATTAAATCCCACCAAACTTCAGTCTTCCCGTGTGTAAATTAGGGAAGATCAACTAGACTTCGTTTTCCTTCCACATATGCTTTTCTTATTGTATTAAATTCTAATGTGTTAAGGAGGAACTCTCTACCCATTCTACTGGAGTTCCTAAGGGGACAGTTCACAGTTGTCTGTGGCATCTGAGGCCTCCCAGCCACACGGGATATAAGACACAAGAAAATTTGAATTCAGACAGCCTCTTCTCCTCTACTGCAGAGAAGACCATGTCCTGACCAAGACAGCACCTCATCTGAATCTGTAATGTCTATTACTGGTGACCATTTGGCTTTATTCTTCTGGATTCTTACCATGAGACAAAATTTCCTATATTTCAAACTAAGTTTTATACACTTTTTTCCCTTGTTGTTATCTTAAGTTTTATAATTGAAAGCTCTATACTCTTTTAAATTTACTTGTAAGATTTTTTTGACCCTAATATAAAGAGTGTCCTCAATCGTTTGGTTATTCTAGGATGGAAGAACTCCTTTTTCTTACAAAAATTGAAAAAAGGAAAGTCCCTAACATGGATCAAACTCCCTTTCCCCACCAAATTTAGAATAAAATTATTGCAAAAAACAAAGACAAAGCTTTTCAAACCATAAAACTTGTGCATCACATAAAATTTCTTAAAGCAGCAATATTACTTTCTCTGCAAAAACAACCATATTCAATGAATAATTTGATAATCCCCGAATCCTTCAGTGACTTCTCATTAAGGTCAGAAAGTCTTTATTGATTATTTATTTACTTAATATATAAAAGGCCTTTCATTACCTTGCCTCTACCACAAATCTGGCCTTGTCTAATGCCATCAGCTCTGCATCCCAATTCTGTCTCCTAATAGCTGTTTGTCTTTAAGCAAGTTAGGGCTCCTTTAAAAAGGAATATTTACTACCTGCTATCTACTCTGTGCTATATGCACTTTCATGCATTATCTCATTTAATGTTCTTTGAGGTGGATACTATTATCATCCCCATTTTACACGTAAGAACATTCTCAAGCTCAGTCTCAGAAAAAAATGCCCACAAGGTGGTTGTGAGGCAAGCGGCCTTACTTACCAATCACAGTTCACTGCATGATGTGGGCATTGAGGAAATAGAGCTATTATCACTACAAACCGCAGAGATGATACACGCCAAATAATTGAACCATTACAGTATGCAGAAAAATTAAGTCAGTAAATAAATATCACTTGGCTGGCTTTCTTCATTTTTTTTTTTTTTTCCCTTTTTGTCTTTTTTCGTGACCGGCAACGGATCGCAACCCTCAGTGTTGCGCCCGTACCGGACCGGGACCGGCTACGGGATCGCAACCCTCGGTGTTGCCCCCGCACCTCGCTCAGCCAGTGAGCGGCCGGTCTGCATGTGGGATCCGAACCCTCGGCGGGAGCACCGCCACACTTCCCAAGTGGCGCACTGTAGCAGTGTGCCACCGGGCCGGCCCTGGCTTTCTTCATTTTTATGACCTTTTAAAATTCTCTCATTACCTTAGTATTGTTTTCAGGCAGGTCTAGAAATAAATATCAAAGGATACTCTGGTTTCTGTATTTTCCTACCCACCTATAAACAGTATTTTACCAAACTGGACATGAGAGAGCTGTCAAGGACAGAACCACAGTCTCAGGAAGGCCACTAGTTGTCCAAATCCTTTCCCTCATTTTTCCCTGTATTTGCCTTTCAGACCCTCTTGTGTACCCCTTGGCAGCTTAGAAGGTAGCTGTGTTTTCCTATTTGTCTTCCTCAAATGATTAAAAATCTTTTCAAATCTCAAATGAACATTTTTGCTCAAAACTTTCTATTTCAGTAAGTTCAAAACTTAGAAGTGCCTGAACTTCAGAAATATACTATATATCTAAACCTCCAAAGACCTTTTTTTCATGTATTTTTAGTTCTTCCTTTCTCTGAAATAATTAAAAAATCAGAAGATGCCAATAATATTAGTTCTTATTCCTACTGAGCAGACTGGAAGTTTATTATATTGCTAGTCAGAGTAAGAGAATGGTAAATAAAAATAATGATAGGAGGACAGAGTAATACATTATTTGGTAAAGGAACATGAAAATCAACTACATTGTATATTGATAAATTAAAATTAAAAATAAGTAAAAGGAATTATAAAAAATTATAAAAAGGAAGGAGGAGGAAGTGATGGAAAAGAGAAATAAAAAAAAAGAAGGAAAATCTAACTCAGAGGCCATCTCCTCTATGAAACCCAGACCTTCCCAAGGAGAATTAACAACTACTTGTTCAAGGCTCCCAGTATCTTTTTTTTTTCTTTTCATTTTGCTAATGTTGTTCATAGTGTATTGTATACTAGTTGCCCATGTATCTTTCTTCTCTTATCATGAGTACCTTGAGGTCAAGAATCATGTCACAATCATCTTTGTAAAATCGGTGCATGTTTATATTCAATAAATAAGTGCAGAATTGGAATGGAAAGTCCAACTGATGGGAGTGATAGAATGTTACAAATGCCACAAAACGGTTGCTTGCACCCTACCATGTGCTTTTTCAACAGCTTGCTTTGCTTACTCAGACTCTGGGAACCTTTTTTAAGGTTTGCATGTTGTGGTACAACTCACATAAATTGATTTCTGTGGTTCTTATGTCAAGTTGCTACAAATCCTGCCTCTTACTCAGGATCGTCCATCAACAAGACCCATTAAGCCCCCATCGGGTGAGGACTAGGTTAGAGGCTGAAAAGGAGGTGGAGCAGACCCAATCCCCTCTTTAGGAAGCTCACAATTTAAAAGGGTTAAGCGTAGATACTAAAACATCTGTGAAATACACATACTAATACTTTGAGTAGGAAATCTGTTTTTTTTTTTTCTCCTTTATTCTGTGGTCTATGTAAAATTTTATTCTCATTTGCTATCCTCCAAAGATTCCTTGAATTATCTATTCCCCAATCTCTACCTTGCTACTTCCCCACCCATATGCTTTCAAACATCTCTAATCCGGTCACTATTTAAAAAGGAATGTGGGTGGGGGTAGCTGGTTAGCTCAGTTGGTCAGAGCTGGTGCTGACAAAAAAGAAGGCGTGGAACTGCATCATTGTCACAGATGTGAATTATACCCCAAATGACTTTTCAATGGGCAGGAATGACTCTCTGCCGTAATAATAATCCCTACCCAGGGGAGCTCAAAGAGTAATGTTCCTGATAGCACTACGATGGAGTGATATCATTTTAGTATTCATCAGAAGTTAGAAATTGGTTTCTAATATTTAGCTTCATTTAGAACTGACTATTGAGTAATACTAAATACGAGGATGTTTAGAAAGTGAAGAGGTTGGGCCGGCCCGGTGGCGCACTGCTACAGTGCGCCGCTTGGGAAGCGCGGCGGCACTCCCGCCGAGGGTTCGGATCCCACATACAGACCGGTTCCCGCTCACTGGCTGAGCGAGGTGCGGGCGCAGCACCGAGGGCCCCGCGCCCGCTGCCGGCCC